TGCAGCCATTCGGGTATGCTGCCTGTGCAGAGTGTGCAAACACTGCATATAAAGAAGTATGTGTTGTCATATTTTCTTTTCTTACATGTTTATAGAGGTGAAAGTTAGGAAATGCAAGATAATGAATGAATAACTAACAGCAGGAAAGAACATAAAAGCACACAAGTATATGGTAGTTCAGCATTTTGATTATAGAATTTGAGGATAACCCGTGATAATAGAATGAGGCGGTGTTTGAGGCACACGATAGATAGTATATACTGCTTGCCAATCAACACTCAAAAGTAAAGAAAGGATAGATAAAAATAGCAGCCAAATGATCAAGAACTTTTGTACCCATTAAAGATATTTGCTTCAAAAGATAAAACTACTTGCCTGAAAGAAACTTCATCATCAAGAAGTTTCATCCAGAAGGAAAAGAAGAAACAAGGTAGATACCTGGGGTGTCCATGGAGCAGCTGGTATTCTTTCACGACCATGAGGCGGAAATCCAGGGCCAGGAAATGTGTGAGCAAACTCATGGGGCCTACCAACATTATCTTTCTGAAACGGAGGCAAATTGGAGAACATTCTCGGGGGAGATGGATCCCTCCTTCCCATGTATCCTCCAAAAGGAGGCATCTGATGGTCAAGGAAGGAAGGGTGTACAGCATGATTCAGAGCAGGAAATTTATCACGGAAGAGATGATTCTTCAGCTTATCAGTTATCTGTAGTAAAGCATCCTGAACAGCTCTAAGTTCACCAGTTACCTAAACAGAAATAATTTGAAGATAAACAATCCAGGTACATAGAAGATGAGCACATAAATAAGGAGATAAAAATATCACAAATAATGGCAAAAAACAACAGGAACACAAGATTTAATGCTACCAGATCAATATATTTTTTCAGCAAGGAATCAAGCAGGGATAGACAGCGCAAAGATTAACGCATATATTCTGCAAGTATATCACACCTGAACAACATCATAATTTTCTGGCACGCTCTCTGGTAGCTGCTCTTTGGTCAATATTCGAATTTGTGCTCTCGAAAATTTCCTCATTTCTGCTATGACAGCACCGCCTTTGCCGATAAGGCAGCCAATCTGGTTGGAAGAGACAAGAAGCCTAGATGAAACATTGTCATCACCATCAGGCTCCGCCATTGCAATCCTATGTTGCACACGAAGGACACCGTCCTGTGCCGGAGAAATCATATCAACTGGGAGCTACAAACACAAATGAAGTATATTAGCAATGTATAGACATATATTACAGTACCTAAAATGTTGTAGTTTGCATATACAACACCCAAACAAAGTTCATATTTTATTGATAAACACAAGCAAGACTCCCATGCCTATTTTCCTAATCAGCGTTTAAATATGATTTTATTAATGGGAAAGGTTCATCAATGGAGAACTTGCTGATTTATTAATTATATGCATATTAGTTGTATTTAGCAAGAAAAGAAACTATGAAACCTTACCGCTGGACTCGATATGACTATGATACGGTCATCTGTCTCAGGTACAGTCTCATGAATCTTAATTTCACAGCCTGTTTCATGTTTAAGAGATTTAACAATGCTTCCACCCCTTCCTATCACACTTCCAACCTTGTCGTTTGAGCACAACAATCTGAATGTCAGCTGCTCTGAAGAACCTTGTCCTGATCCAAAACTTTCGTGGAACTTTGCAAAAGGAGGCATATCAGGAGCATCATAGGGTCTGTTAGAAAATGGGGGTCCTTGAGGAGGAAGATGCTGCATAGATGGATGAACTTCTGGCCTAGGAACTAGACTGAATGAATTAGATGATGGACCAGGAGGTTTCACAGCGGGAAATGGATCACGGGGTGGATTCTTAATAAGCAGCTGAGAAACTAACTGCAGACCTTTCCTTGCTGAAGCAGTTACTCCAGTGATCTGCAAAGAAAAACGAAAAGGTAAGTAGCCATAAAAGCTACATAGAATTCTTACCAACTTTCTGCCTCTTCGTTCAGAGAGTACATAAGGAATAGAAAATTATTCTTTCAAAAAGACAATAAAAAAACAAAAAACTTTTAAGTTAATGTAACTAACATACTGAAATTCTTGTTTGATTGTATTGACTTAAAAAGCAAAGAAATAGAGTTAAACAATTCATGTTATCTTGGACCTTATCTTAGTTAAAAGTCAAAAGAGAGTAACATATGCTACTTCGGAGTAATGCAGAAATACATTAAAATTGAACACAACCACATAATGATTGCTCCGTCAGAAATCACACCTTAAAGCACGTTAGGTTACCTGCACGATTTCATCGTTTGCTGAAGCACAAGAAGGAAGTTTTTCTCTAGAGATTTGGATCTGGGCCCCACTATCAGAAACCATTTGCTTGATTACACTCCCACCCTTCCCTACAAGGTGACCAACCTGACTAGACTGAACGAGCAATCTAACAGTAACACCAAAGTCCTTACTTGCTTCTTCTTCGACATCACCATCTTTTGGTTCAACTTCAATAATTCTCTCAAAAATGAGCAGGAGAGCCTTTTGTGCTGATGATGCTGACTTGTCAGACTTTGAACCTTCTAATACAGAAGAATCCTCTTTCTCTTCTTTATCCTCACCACTAGTCTTGTCGTCCTGATCACCACCAGAACCACCAGCATTTTCGTCACTTTTCATTGCATTTTCACTGCTAACTTCCATATCCTTATCCGAGCCTGTTATAACAATAATTCTCTCTTCACATCCAGGGATAATCTCTTCCAGTCTAACCTTCGCACCAGTCTCTTGGCGTATCCTTGATACAATGCCACCACCTTTACCAATTATGCCACCAGATTTTGAAACGGGACAAAGAACGCGGAAGACAACAGCTCCCTGTGGCATCTGAGATGCAGAAGGTGCAGTTTTCCGCCACTTTCCCCTTCCATTTGGGTCTGAAGCATTTTTTTCAAAAGGTCTCTTGGAAGGAAAAGACATGGCTTTGCAATCTTAGACTCGTTGAAGTCTCTGTGCGCAAGAAAGAAGATAATAGGTCTAACAATGTGTTAAAGATGTATACAATATTAAAATTCTGACTTAAAACAAGAAAAAACGTTATCATGCATTAAACAGGTCTAGACTGAAGCTATTTTTTCTATGCTAAGAAAACAAGCAGGAGGAAAAGGTTTTAGAGTTATCACTTTTGCACCGTACTATATAGAAATCATTCAAAGGGCTTCCTCCATCGAGTATATGTTCCATAAAAAGCAACCGTGATGATTACTTAGTATATATGAATGAGAAATATCTGCAGTGTTAGGTCAAAATTATGCATGTCTTACCTTATAGGTTAAGTGTTTTATTTTTGTCTTAACATGGTATGGTATAGCAGAGATTCTAAGAGGTCCTTGTTTACACCCAGAAAGTTGATATTTTTCAATGCACCCATTAAATCTAGATTTTTCAAGCGGGCGAAACTTACGGTGGACCTGCCAAAATGGTGTAGTCACCGCCAATGAGCTTTCAAGTTTGCATAAAATGGTTTTCTGATTCTTAAAGAAAACACGTTTTTATTAAGGACAATATAAACAACAACATATGCTGCTTTCTAATAACTTGTCTACTAGGATAAGGTCACCTGACATCATATGAGGCCGCGATTGGAAATCTTTACTTGTGTACACATCAAACACAAAAAGCCAAAAAAAAAAAGGTCCAAACCATGTAATATTAGCTTCATAATGTAGACATTTCTAGATCATGAAACAAAAAGTCAAGTCTATGTTTGAAGCGGGTGCATTGATTAAGGCAAAGCTGACTTAAATCATTATGCTAATATATACATTCATATATAGACACATGCATGTGCACGCGCGTGCACACACAGACATACACACATATATACACATACACTCACATATGAGACCGCGATATGGAAATCTTTACTTATGTGTATGTCAAACAGTACACAAAACAGAAAAGGCTCCAAACCAAATAGCATAAACTTCATGCAAAAAATCGTAAGGTTCATAACTTAGATTGTACTCTCTAAATCATCAAGCAAGACATCAGTTCAACGCTTTGAAGTGTGTGCATCAATTAAGGCAAACCGACTTAAATCGTTATGCTAAACATACATACATATATGTACACACACATACATTCATAGATATATGTATGTACGCCATGCTAATATATCAGTGTCTGTGTTTGTGCATGTGCATGTGCACTCATGTGGCACGCATATAACTCCAAAATGTAAGGAAGCATATGAACTTTGAATATGGACATTTTCATAGTAGTAATTAGTAAACTTATCTAGTTTCCATTAATAACAGCAATCATTACACAAATAGATGTGTTAAATAATAATGATTTTGGTGGGTCCGAGTAGTTGAAAAGCAACTTCTAATCCATAAAAAGAAGGAATATTTCCCTTCCTATTCCCTCTTCACGATACTTGGACTTGCAAGTACGGAGCACGTGCATGAAACCTAGTAGAGAAACACGTAGCTAATAATTGATTGACTTTTAAAAAAACATTGACATGATAGTCAAAAGAAGAAATCATAAGATATTTTTCTCAGATATTTTTCATTGATTTTATGAGAATTGTTTAAGAACCATAATAGGTGCATGATCACAAAACTTCACAACACGACCACGAGTATGATAATAAATAGCCCATTTGCCAAAAAAACCCTCATTAAAGCAAAACCAGATCCTCATTTTCAGATACTTTTTTGTTGCTTCTATCAGAATTGTTTAAGTAATGCATTTATCTTCCATAAATGGGTATATGATTAAAAATAACTTTAGAACATTAAAACTAGTTTAACATAACCCTGTCTGCCAAAAAAAACCATTGAAACAAGAACAATCTCTACCAGACCGTAGATAGAAAGCATGAACGTAAAACAGAACAAAATCCTAACAATTTGCAATAAGGCTTCCTTGTTCTTTTTCTTTTAGCTTTCTTCATCTTACCAGTCAGAGCTGCCTACTACACTCTTTGACACCAACCACTACAGAACAATGGAATAGGTAGCCAAAAATGTAGAAAACAAGAAAACGCGGGGAATCAACATTACAGGGTAAAGATTTTAACAATTGTTCAAAATTCAGAAACACGACGACATGCAGACATTAAAAATCTTAATAAATTCTTTTTTAATACTTCTATTGATTATACGCAATTTATTAACAGGTAATCGAATACTAAATTGCAAAAGAAAACACCGATTTAAAATATAGTAAAGCTCAATTGAACTAACGGAATTCACAAAAGCAAAGACACGCAGTCATAAAAAAAACTAATAAAAAGACAATTTTTTTAATACTTCCACTGATCCTATTGAATCGTTAACAGTATCTGAATACTAAACAGCTTGTATAATTCACAAGTCAGAAGGACCAATGATGAAAACAAAGGTCCAAAGAAAACCCAAGAAACCCTAGAGCTATTGAAAACGCCGTCAAGATTGAAGTAAATGGAGGAACTCGCAAGCGCGGAACAAAGCCCTAAACCCTAGAAGCGCTTTAGATTCAAAGATAAGAAAAGGATTGAGGATACCTCGAGAGCAACGTCGCTGAGAGAGACCGAGAGAGAGATCGGAGATTTGGAGAGGAAATAGATTAGGTGAGATTAGGGATCGGAGCTCCCGATGCTTGAGTGTAGAGAGAGAGAGAGAGAGCAAGGGCAATTAGAGTTGAAGGAAACCCTTTTCTAGCCCATCTTTATACAGTTCAGCATATCGCATCATCCGTTCATCTCTAAATGGACGGCACCGATTTTATGTTAGAGATAAGAAACTAATTCGGTAAGTACGAGCATTTTTACTTGTCTTGCGTTGTGGTGATTTTTACCCTTTTCTTATCCTAGTCGTCCAAAACACGGCTTCTAAAAGATTTTCTGTAAATATTGAACATATTATAAAAATAAAATATTCTGTTTTAGATATGAAGTATAGTGGTGGAAATGAACCGAATAATTAGAATTCATTCATCTGTGAAATACTAATTAGAATTTAAAAAAAAAAGAGTAAAAAATAATATCAAGTTTTAATATTAGTCTCTTAAATATTTAATATCTTGAAACTGGTTTCCCAAATCGGTGAAGTTGCTATTAGGTGTTATTATTCCTAAATAATATCGAAATTAGCCCCTTGTTTTATTAAATTTGATAATAGTTTCCCAAATTCCTAGTAGTTGTTTCAAATCAATCCCTCCAATTAAGAGTAGAAGTAGCATTTGGAGGGGTTATTTAAAGCACCTTACGAAAATTAGTGGCCTAATAACGATTTCAATAATGTGAAGGTTTAATTTTAATAATTGGGGAACCTAATATCATGAGTTTCATCCCGTGCTAGCACGACATCCTTACAGATTATTTTTATGCGCAGTTTTTTATCATCTCATTTTTTTGTTTTGTCACGATAAATTTATCTTAAACATACTTGAAGTTCATCATATATAACCAATGAGGATATTGTTTTGTCACGATAAATTTATCTTAAACATACTTGAAGTCCATCATATATAACAAATATAAATTTATCATATATTCAAACCCAATATAAATCACATGATAAGGATCGTAAGTTTTGCAGATCACAGTAAGTAACACGGAAAGAAAAGCAGAAACACAATGTACTAAATTTCTCTTTAATCGTTATTATCATATATTCAAATCCAATATAAGTAACACGAACCTCTTCTTTTCTTTCTAACCATTTAACCCTTCTATTCTATTTGTATATATGTATCTTCTTGATTGCTCTACATTGAAGATATAAGAGATGGTGACGCAAGCGATAGATCAAATGAAGTAAAGGAATGCGGAGAAAGCACGACGTTCATCAAAGGACCTGCATTTTGTAGCATACTCTGAATCGACACGACCTGCATGAATGAATATTGGATTAGATTTATGTTGCTTCCATCTTACGTTAGGGTAGAACCTTGAGTCTCTCTTTTATTCAGTTGCTTATAATGGAGTAACATAACCTACTTATATTTTGTCATTTCTTTGTTTCAAGTTTCATGAAAATTCAAAAGCATAGATAATGCAGGCAAAAAGTATTTAACTCTTCCAACTTTTTCATGCATCTTTGTACCTTATTATCCGCAGTAATTAAATTTACCTTATTTGGTTCTTTGAAGGAATTCTCGTCCATTACAATACTGGATGTAAGAATAGTCATCTTTGATCCCGGTGAGTTGACAATATTTTGCAAACCAGAAACTAATTCGGTAAGTACGAGCATTTTTACTTCTCTTGGGTTGTGGTGATTTTTACCCCTTTTCTTATATATATTAATACGTACAATTATATTTTCCAATGTTAGTATCTAATATTTAGAAATATAAACACATTATTCTTGTTTTCCTCTACTTTAGTAGTTTATTTTTTCCAAAATTTAATGAATAATAATATATTGTTGGGTACTTTTAGTTATTGTTAAAAAATATTATTTTAGGATATATATCAAAAAAATTACTTCATAAATATAGAAATAAACATTTGAATAGAGAGAGAAGTTCCGACAAGGGGGAAAATAACTCAAAGCCGAGAGATAGACTCACAGCACGTATACAAATAATAGTGGATTTCATGCAAATCATACTGAATCCTCAATTTTGTGGTTTATCTTGTTTTGATTTTATGTTCACAAATGACGGCTGAGCTTGATAATCTTGATCGACTTTGTTACTCTCTTTCCTTAAATTGAACCTTTTGCATTTTGTTTTTTATTTCTAGATAAATTACATTCACAGATGTGGGTTTGCCCATACTGAGCTAGGTCACTTATCGAAGGAAAAAAATTAAGACACAAATAGTCAATTTATAGAAAGAGACTAGATCTTGATCAAAAAAAATATTCATACTCAAGTATCAACTATTTATGTAAGACTATATACTTAAGTAAGGCCCTAAATTGCCACTTGGCAACTTGTGGCTATTTTGGCTATATTTTTTTAAAAACTTTTCTTCCTTCTTCCTTTTTCAACCTATTTATTACTCATAAAATATAATTAATAATTAATTAACAACAAAACACTTCATCGTTACCACATCTATTAAAACCCTTTCAAATTCTTTTACCTCGCCCATTTAGTAGCACCTTTAGCACCTATTAATTCTAATTTTTATGAACCGTTATGGTAAGAGGATTGTCTCAACAATAAAAACTGTTCATATTTTTGTTTGTAAATAATATATTTAGAATCATCTCTTTCTACATGAATAATGAGCCTTTAAAAAAATCCTGCAGCATTGTGCGGGTATAAGACTAGTTAGAATACTATGAAGCTAAAACTAGAAAAACCACTCAGTGAGAATTTAACGTGATATGAAAGTCACTACCATCTTTTACATGTATTTGTACGATCAACGCTCAATTTTGAGTTATTTGTCAATTACATGTGAGGATATCTGTTTAGAAAAGTTTAATGTTAGGAGGGATTTTGTGAAACATCCTCAGGTTTTAGGGGTGCCATGGGATTAAAAAAGTAAATTTTGGGTGTTATTTGCAAGAACTTCAAACTTCTAGGAGACTGCAGGTTGGAGAACAAGCATTTCTTTTTATAGGTTAGATTACCAGTTTGGTATTTCTGGTAGGACCATACTTACAACACGGTAATTTATTCCTTCGCAGCTGACATTATTTGACTTCTGGAGTCGACTTGATGTTATTTTACATAAGAAAAATAACAACATTGGTATTTCTTACATAAAATAATAATAGAATGTGTGTGCTCAAATAAGCAAACTCCTCATTAAAGCTAAATAATTTTGATGGTTTGACCAACTCTAATCTTGTTATGGATGATGTAAATCTCAATCCTTAAATATGATATACAATCTAATTAGTGTTTCTATTAGCTATGCCTATATTAAGATAAGGGCAAAAAGAGTTTGTTTATTCTATTAAGATTGAGATTCTTATATTGTAGAATTTGTGGCTAGTAACAACTCTTATCATTAGTTTCTATAAATATGGTAGAAGCTCTTCGATGAGAATTCACCCAAACACGAGTTATAGCATTATGAGAAAGAATGGACAGATCTTCATTAAGACTACAAGTAATTGACTCTCTTTCTTGTTTCTTTATGTTTTATAGATTGTATTCGATCCACCCGATGGTAGCAGCAAGCATTGAGACATGCTCTGCAGGCTAAAGTAATAGATTCAAGAGGTTCTTGATTTGGTTCTCTGTTAGGATGTAAATCATACAATATTTCTTGATTGGGTAATAACGAACTCTCATTTGGATATAATAATTATGTAAGATAATATAGTACAAGTAAATGCATGTATAAGAAGTCTACGAGGTTAAACAACGTGAAAATTAGCTCAAAAGCTAATTTCCGCCTCCTCACCATTGATGGTCTTTAGTACTGACTCATCGTTGGCGGGATCAGCTCGTTGATGGTCTACAGTTACTCATTGATGGCTAGAGTTAGTCATCAATGACCACAGTAACAAATTGATAATTTTCTCGAGAGAGATTTTCATATCATCGATGGTGTGCAAGAATCCATCGATGAGGCCTCGACAACATCGATCGTCGAGAGCCACCATCAATGGTAAAGTTAGCTGATTGTAAATTTTAAGTTTTAATCTCAATCGTTCATCATTTCTTTGATCTCTAATCTCCATTACATTTAGGGTATCTCTTTTCTGACCAACTGAGGACTATATATTATTGAAAGATATAGAGAGATAAGTAGAGTTCTAGAGTTTTGAATAGTATAGAGAATTTATTAAAAGTTCTGATCCTCGAAGCCTCGACAAATTCTTAATTGTTGCGCACATCTCCGAATCATTTTAGTGAGGAAAGTTCCCCTTGGATTCGTCATCTATATTGTTCTTTATCGTGTTACTCTTAAATTCATTGAAGGATGGTTTGTTTAACAAAAGGCCTGTAATATCTTTCATATTTTATGAGCGTTAATTTTAGTTGTTTGGTTTTGATTTAAATTTGTTTTTACAGTACACTCAAGCCAGTTGGAATCGAGGATTGGGACTAGTTAAGGTTAGGAGTTTACTCATTATGGAGAGTCAGATTAGATGGTTGGTTTCGGATAGATTTTAAGGTGTGGTCCTTTGCATAGTGAGAAGGCCCCTTCAAGAAAAAGAAGAGTGGATGTAGAGTTATTTTCCAAACCACTATAAAATATTGTGTGTTATTAGTTGGTTGTTATATGTTATTAATTATCATTGATCGCTTTTGTTTTACCTTTTTTGTTGAATATTATATGTTTTAGCGAAAAATGGTAGACCCCACTTATTCACCCCCTCTAGGCTTGCATCTCAGATCCAATAAGAGGTATCAAAGCCTTGTTATCGATTTTAGGTTTACCTATGGTAGAAATGTCTAGTTTGACCGTTGCAATAGCTTTTCCTAAGTGACACACAATTATCGATTTTAGGTTTTCACTTTTTGATAGGACCAACTACACCTATTGGAAAGCCTGGATGAAAGTTTTTTTTGTTGTCATCGATTTTGATATTTAAGATAGTGTAGAGAACGGTTACAATGAACATACTAGCGTTGCTAGAGCTACTACCTTAGTTACTCCTGGACGTAAGTGGACCGCTCAAGAAAAAAAAGATTTACTCCTTAAATAAGAAAGCTATGAATGCTCTTTATTGTTATTTAATTGTTGAAGAATTTAATTGCGTGTCAAATTAT